GCGCGAACATTTTTCTGTAAAACAAAGGGGGGCCCAGCGAAAAAAGTTTGGGAACCACTGCTCTAATGAGTCCTGTGCCCAATACCCGATAGCATATAAGCAGGCTGGCATTTGCCATTGATTACCAGAATTGGCAGGTCCACCACTGGCACGCTTTTCACACACTGAGCAGAAGTGACAGATGTGAAAAGGTCTCGAGAAACCACGGAGAACATCATGCTTGTAACTGTTTAACATGGTTCAGCATGTTCAGTGTGTTTATTTCTATCCATTTTGAGATGTTGAATGTTGAATATACAGCTCTGGAGGAATTAAAACGCAACAAGGAGACTATGGAGAGACTGTGTAGACACTTTATACTTATACCCTGTGATCAGGCATATTTAATGCCTGGCCATTGATTTTATTGTTAGCAACGAAATTATACCCCACCGCTACAGCAAAATGATCACATATCAGCTGATGATCCTCTTGCTGCCTGTGTGTTAAAGAGTAAGCTTCCCAGTCCACACATACACAATACAAAAGGACAGAGAGACAGAGGGCTTATAGTAGCTTACAGGAGGACAGTGCACAGTTTCACATTGTTTGCAGAAAACAAAACCACGCTGACATTTATGGGGCTGGGGTCGCCCGCTCGCTATTGGGAAACCTGATGCCATCAGCCACTCATATCTGCAATCCACCACACACACACACACACTTATACACAATGAACAATCTAGAAAAGACAACAGCACCATGACCTTCAACAGACAATATCAGTGGCTGCTGTGAATGTCTATTGTCGTCACTGTGATTATACACACACACACACACACACACACACACACGAATGCTTTTAAACAGACGAGCATCCAGTGCAATGATAAAGCCTCCGAGCAGCCCAAGGCTCCCAACACTGCAAGCTGCACAGCTAATAGATGCTAAAAATTAAATCCTATCCGGTAACAGCACCTAGAGCTATACTTTGCATGCTTGAGCGTATTTAATTATCTGCTGGTGTATTTTTAGCACCAACATTTTGCACTAATGTACAACAATCCCAGAGTAACAACAGTGCGACACAGAAACAAGAAAAAATGGATGAGGTGCTGCCGTTGTAAAAGAAAAAAAGCTGGAAACATCAAACACCCTCAGTAAAAACTCAAATATTTGTGAATTACACTGATGCATGTTTTGTCATACATGTGCATTTATATTTAAAAGAGTTTGTCTGGACCGCCCAACACTAAACTATCGTATTACCACAGTATGTGTTCCTGTGTTTTTACTGCTCCACATTCAGACCTGAGTGAATGCAAAGAAACGAGCCCACCTTTAGATTTATGGGACAATAATGGTGACAAACTTTGCGTCCAACTAACTCCCGGCAGTGAGGAAACTGCACGTAGAGAGGGAGGCTTAGACTCAACACACAGTTTAATCTGTATGAGTCCAAAGATGTGATATCAGAATTATAAACCAGCAGTCAAAATGCAACAAAAAGCACAATGCAAACAAAGATTCAACGTTTCTACAGTCTGGAGCTGCAAATTCTAACCTTTGAAAACAGCAATGAATGTGAGATTTAAGCATCTCAGCTACTCAGAAAAAATGGTTTTAACATGTGTGGGTCCCCGACTACTGGGTAACTACTTCTGCTGACATCTGAAGACACAACGACAAAACTCTCAGACAGCTGCTGGAACCTTAAACAGATTGTTGTCTCAACAGCTAAGCCAGAAGAGCAAGTAGCAGCGTACCACAGCACAACTTAAGATACTTACATTTTTAATAACATCTGAAAAAAAATGTAAATGCCATGACAAAAAAACTAAACAAAAAGCAAACAAACATGAAATAAACAGAGCACAATACCTGATCACAGAGTCTGTGCGGTTGCAGCCCGGTATGGACGAGGCCTTTTCTCCCGGTGAGCCGAGGATCTGCAGCGTTGTATTGATATCCACCTCTGTTGAGTGTTTGATGGAGAACTCCATCACCTCTGAGGGGATCAGCGGGGTTTCACCCTGAGGATCGTCTGCTAGTAGATAACCTAAAGAGCACAGACAGGTACAGGTAGCCATGTTGAAGCCTGCTCATTGTACTATGAGGGTAAAAGTGAAGTCAGAAGAAAAATTTACAGTTTAAGCTCTAACTTTTACTTTTGTTTCATTTCCAGTCTTCTGTGTTTGTAACTGGAACATTTTTGCTCTTAGACTCTTAAAGGTTGGACTGTGATATATTTGCCAGAACATTCAATTTTTTTTAAAGATGGAGTGTTTAATAAACCTTCTGATGAAATTATAACAAAAAAATAAATGATTATTTATTGTGTCAGCCCCACAGACTCCCATGTTAAATGTTTTAACTTTACCACAGAAAAAAAACATGTTTACAACCTGACACAAAAATACCATTTTAGTCTCCAACTCATTCTTCCTTGATGCTAACAGTACAGGGAATACATTTTTATTAGGGGTGCAACGATACTCGTATTGATATTGAACCGTTCGATACAGTGCTTTCGGTTCGGTACGCATATGTATCGAACAATACAAAATTT